TTTCTTTTCTGCCTTTCTTTCATAGAGAGAAAGAAAAGCAGGCATCAAAGTCCTTTTAATTAACACAGACATACAAACTTCACGAATTTAGCAGCAAAGAAAGCAGAAATTCTGGCTAATCTCCCTAAGAAGCTGCCTCAATAATCCCAGCTAAGAAATTGACAGATGCATGGCTCTAGCAAAGAAAGAAAAAAAGGGAATAGCTGCTGTTAGAATTGCTGGCTCTGTCATAAGGAAAGGCACTTGTTGGCAAGCTTTAAAAGATCAAATACACCCAGAAGTCTCCTGGAAATAAGCATTTCTTTTTGCGCTCTAATGTAATTAGCTACCACCCCCACAAAAACCCCTTTAATTAAAAAGAAATATTTCAGAAGCATGTTAGCAAGATGGCTCTCCTTACGCACCAATTGTCCCTATTTATCAGCTGCAAAACGTGCAACCTTTTGAGGGTGATGTTTGTGGGAGACACGGCTGAGACCTTACTCTGTTAAGATTTCCTTCGATTTCATTTTCTGGCTGATATCAAGCAATAGAGAAAACTCCCTGTGCCATTTGGTTGTCATTATCAGCTTTGGAAGCCATATTAGCACCAGAAGCTTCCACGCTGACACGTTCTTGAGCCTGGGAAGATGGGAGGGGGGAATTGCATGGAGCGTGTGTGTGGTAGACATAATAGCATTCTTCTTTAGAGTCAAGGTCATGTTGTTCCTGCACCTGGTTGAGGAGTAGTAGAGGGGACATCTCAAGTTGGGATGGATGGTGATTAGAAGCTTCCACGCTGCCACATTCTGGTGCCTGGGAAATTGGGAGGGAGGAATCTCATAGAGTGGAGGTAGTTAGTCATAACAACATTCTTAGTCTCAGTCAAGGACAAGTCAATTCTGCACCAAGAAAAGGTGTGGTTAGAAGAAGGTCTCCAGTTGGTACGGATGGTGATTGGACCATGTGATGGACTGATGGGTGCAGGGGAATGGGATTTTGGTTATCAATTACCAAAGGAAAACCAGATTCAGGTTTTCCCAGATGTGCCAATATGACAATTCTAATAAAATGAAACTTTGAGAAGATGTGTGATGACCCAGAGTGTAACACAAATGTAACAAAATCCAAAACATAAATAAATCTTAAGTTGTATTAACAGAGGTATACAGTCAAGATCAAGGAAAGTACTAATATTACTCTATAAAGCCTTAGTAAGAGCACACCTAGAGTACTGCATCCAGTTTTGGTCACCACATTATTAAAAAGATGTTGAGACTCAAGAAAAAGTACAGAGAAGAGCAACCAGGATGATTAGGGGACTGGAGGCTAAAACATACAAGGAACGGTTGCAGGAACTGGGCTTGGCTAGTCTAATGAAGAGAAGGACCAGGGGAGACATGCTAGCAGTCTTCCAATATTTGAGGGGCTGCCACTGGGAGGAAGGGGTCAAGCTATTTTCTAAAGCTCCTATAGGCCAGACAAGGAATAATGGATGGAAACTGAACAAGGAGAGATTTGACCTGGAAATAAGGAGAAACTTTCTGACAGTGAGAACAATCAACCAATGGAAGAGCTTGCCCTCGGAAGTTGTGGGATTGCCATCACTTGAGACTTTCAAGAAGAGATTGGACTGCCATTTGTCAGAAATGGTGTAGGGTCTCCCGCTTGGGCAGGGGGTTGGACTAGATGACCTACAAGGTCCCTTCCAACTCTGATTATCTGTTATCTGTTAAATGTCCTTTAATGCCACCAACTTGCCCCCACTGTTCAATAATTCTCAGTTGGAGATAAAACATATTCAAAAATAGTCTTTAAAAAGAAAGCAATACAGTCTGAACTAAATGAGCAGATAGAGGTGAAATAAAAATCTAAAACAAACTAAAATGAAGGAAATTACCAACTTCAAGGTGATAACAAGGCACAGTCTGTTGGAAGGACACCAACCAAAATAACTTCAGCCCAAAATAACACACACTTGACTTCTGGAAATGCTGTGTTTTAACTGTATCTCTTATATACTATTCTCCCCAGCTGCAACCAATGAGGGGGATCATGGCCGCTTCCTCTCTTGTAAGCCAAGTTGTTGCCTTCTCCATTCCTCCCTGCATGTCCTAGGATGAAGAGGGGATGGGCCTGGTTCTTCCTCTGGCTGCCCAGCTAGCCTCTGCCCTTCCCCAGCCTCCTCCCCAACCTCCGGAGCCACACTTCTACTCCCTGTCAGCTGTTCCTCCTCTCCCTCAGAGTCTGACTTTAACAAGGGCATGACAAGATATTTGTCTCAGAGTCTTTTGGGTTGGAGTGTGTTACTTGAAACGCAGACAATTCATAGCTAATCTACAGCATCTTCCAACTATAATTATGCTACAATAGCGGCAACGAGGACAGATTGGATGTTGCTTAGTCATGGCTGGGTGATGCTATGAAGATGCCACAGGTAGTCCTTGACTTACAACAGTTCATTTAGTGGCCAAAGTTACACAGGCAGTGAAAAAGGGGATTTACGACCATGTTTCACACTTATGACCCTTGTAACATGCTTGGGAGATCAAAATTCAGATGCTTGGCAACTGGTTCCTACTTATGACCCTTGCAGTGTCCCAAGGTCATGTGATTCTCTTGGCAATCTTTTCACAAGCAAAATCAATGGGGAAATCAGATTCACTTAATAGCCATGTTACTAACTTATCAACCCCAGTGATTCACTTAACAACTGTGGCAAGAAAGGCGGTAAATTGGGGCAAAGCCCACTTAACAAATGTCTCACTTGACAGAAATGTTGGGTTGCAAGGTGAGGTCTACCTTATAAGAGAGTTCTAGTCCTCAGTGAAATACTAGGAATTGTAGTTCAGTTGCACCTAGAGCGGATACAGAGTCTCAGTTTTGGTCTATCCCAACTCAAAGATTCCCAGTAGAGATCTAAGTTGTATCTGAGATGCCAAGGATTGATTTTAGGTCCTTTCTCCGATCACCTCACTCCCCCAGAACATACCTTTTTGAAAGTAGTTTATTAACAATGGATTCATTCACAAGGCTTTTTGAACCACACAAATCAAAGCCAAAAAGTGTACCTTTATCAAGTTAGAATCAAAATTAAACATAACACTACAACGGTTAAATCCATAGGGACATGTAAGTATAGAGGCACAGAATTCCACATTCAATGGACAAATATTAAAGCATCATTCTTCATCGGATTAAAGTGTCACTGCATTCCAGCATCACAGACTGATAGAACAGCCACATTTCAGTGGACTTTCGAGAAGTCAGAAGGAGCCATTCTGATGTTCAGGGGCAAACTGTTCCAGAGGAGAAGGCTGCAACTGAAAAGTTAAACTTCTGAGGTCCTTGCGGTTTCTGAAAGAAGAGTGCCAAAGTGAGTCCATCCTACTCAATCCTTTCATAAGGGCTGGTGTTACTAGGAGAGAATAATCCAGCAGATATTGAGGTCTTTAACTTTGATGGGCTTTAAAGATAACACCCACCACTTGGAATCCATATAGTAGCTAGCCTGTGCAAAGGTATGACATGGCTATATGCAATAGCACATTTTTAAGTACTTAAACTGTTGCATTCTGTGAATGAGGGATTGCTTCCCAAGGCTGGAAGGAAGCAGCCCCAAGCAGAACATCTCAATAATCTAGTTGAGAGGTGATAAGGCATTTGTGCCAACTAGCCATTAGGATCACTTGCCATTTTTTGACAGCCAAAGGGTGGGATCATGCGCCCCCATGGAAAACCTTGGATGCCTTGTGTCCTCATCACCAAGGTACATGTAAAGCAAGTATCTTGCAATGGCATTTGAAAGCCATCAATTATTCTGAAAGCACTGTCAGATTTGCTGTAAGAATAAACATCCCACTATGCTTACTTAAAGGCTGAAAAGCAGGGTAGGCACTTAAAAATAAATGGAAAGGAAATTATTACAGCTGCTTTATTAATAAATTGCTTTAGAAGCCAATTCAGGGCAGCCATTGTACTGTAAATGATGCAGACATTGCAAAAGAATGCCCGGATTTTCATTGGTTATAAACACTGGAGGGCATTATGTTTGGTGTTGTCTGTTTTTTCTACAAGAGACAGCAAATTATATATATATATATATATATATTTAAATTGCATATCAGAGACTGGTACAACATAAACTTAATTGAAGAATTCCAATCTTGTGTATCCGTACTGTATGCAAACGTGATGGAGAGATCCTAAAGAGACAATATTCCTTGATGGAAAAATAGATCTGTACACACCCATTGGAAGAACAATACATATTTGTTTCAAAACCAGACATTTGTTGATGCCCAAATACATATTAAGCAGATGCCTGTAGCCAAGGCATATTCAATTCCCAGCCTGGCCTCCACACCCTCATCTTCAAAATTTGCAAAATCACACTGGTCTCCTGACAATACAAACCCCAACCCAAATAATTATCTTTCAATCAGCTCTTATGCCACAGAGCCATATATTGAGAAGTCAGTGCTTCCTACTTCCTACTCTGAATAATTTCTTACAATCTGTGTGTTTCTTCTCACTCTTTCCTTCTTGACTTCTCTTGGGGGGGGGGGCGGGGGAGGAGTTTTATCCTTCTAGCTCTCTTTCACTTGCCAAGTATATGATATACTCCATGCGCCTCCCCAAAATAATTAGTCTTTTCCTTTCTCCTTCGGACCTCAACCTCTTGAAGGGTCTTTGTGATGTTAAATTCCTACCATTTCATTCATGCCAACTCTCTAATACTTCCTGAACACCTCAACCAGTGGAATATCAACAACTTAATTGTCACATATACAATATAATAAATGCTACTTTTCCAGTACAATACCTGCAATTACTTAATTTTAGTTACGTTAACTTTTAAAAAATTATATCTAAGCACACCAATCTGATCACTATACACAAAGGAAATTGTGTTCTTTAAGACACCAAGTATTACCAGAGGACAAATTTTTATATAGCCTAATTTTAAAAGGAGTGTGTAAAACCACCGGAAATACAGATAGTAGAGCCAGTGTGGCCCTTTAAGAAAAAGGAGAAATGCAAAATTCCTGGGCTAGTGGTGCCTTCATTAGTATTCCATTGCTGACAGCAGCTAATACTTCCAGGCAAATGACCAGCACACAACACCAAGCCATATACTGTGTGATAAAATGCAGCCTTTTCTGTAGCTTCATAAGGCATCCTTCCTTGAAGAGTTTCTCCGATTGGTTTAGGTCACTATTGCAATCCAAGAAAGTCTCTTTGCAACAGCTTTTTGGAACAAGGATGTGTCCACTGTGGAGATATTTTGGGAGTCCTTCTGTCCAGTCAGTGTAATTGTAGATCCCACAACACTTCAATTGTTTGTGGACAGAATCCACAATCTCAGTGTTGCAATGATGTGGAAAACTCCAGTTGTATTGGTGAAAAATGTGATCCAGGCTGCTTTTCAGTTGGTAGCATGCTTTGGCTGAGTAGACTTGGGTCATGGCAACCGAGGAAGTTTCCAAGCAGAACAGGACCAGCAGCAAATACATTAGAATTCCTTGACTATAATGAGAACTTCTCACAGGGATAGAGACGGCCAACAACCCAGCTGGGAAAAGCAAAATAGCAGCCAGGATAGCCAGCCAGCCCGGCAGAATGAGGAATTGGTTTGGAAAGAAAACTCTATAGCTTTTATAGGTAAGAATCACAAATATTCCTCCAAACAGTAATAGCAGGGAAGCTCCCCAAAGAAAAAAACCAATGAAAGTCAGAATAACTTTAGGTAAGGCTCTGTCCCAGGGCTCAGTAGCCAGTACCAAAACAGGATTGAAATTGAGATTATGCCAAATCCTTCCAATTTTACAATATTTCATTATGCTCCTACGTACATTCTTCCTTTCCCTTTTCCTCTCTACCTCGCTCCCTCCTTCCAGAAATACCTCCATCTTTAAGCAGGTACAGATAAGATCCAAGCTAGATCCCCAATTGCTTGGAGACTATTGGTCTCTAGTTCTTTATAGTTTTGCAGGCCCCATCCTGCAAAACTTATGACCCAATGCTAATTAGAGAAACTGTTTGTTCATGCTTCACATAAAACATGCTTAATCCACTCAGTTTCTTGAATATATCCTAACTGTGGGTCTTTTATAAACCACATTAGCTGGGTTTACAAAGCCTTCTCATTTCCGTTTTCTCCTTTTTAATCCCCTTTGCCTTTCATTTAAGTGGTGAATTAAAGGGGAATAAACAATTTGGCACATAGCAAAAAAAGCCTAAGAATCCTAAGATATTTAGAGGAAGATGAAAACACATGTTGCAGTTATTGCCCTTTTGTTTTCAGGATACAACAAGGAACAACAAAATGAAAGTTGGATTTAAGAGATAGTTGTTTATTAGACACACTTGTAATTTTGGGTGAGCAGGTCTCCTGAAAAATACAGGATGTGTGACAGTCACTGTGAAAGTAGATTACTAAACATTCTGCAACCAGTTTGCCTTGTAAAATTGCCAGTGGATTAAACCAAACAAACAGACCTGCCTAACTCTTTTCTAATGCCTGGAACAGAAGCTGGCTTAGTGGGTGAGGATTATAACAGGGTAGATTTGTAAAATTATTGAATCATTGCACTAGCCTACTATGTTTTATGACCCCAGAATCAGTTTACAGTTCAGTCTGTTGCAAAAACTCAGAAACTTGAATTACATCTGCAAACTGTAGTTAAGTTTGTTAATGAATGCTGAGAAGGGTTAAGTTTGTGCAATTTTAAGGCAAGATCTCAGGCTGTTGATAGTTGGAATAGACTGGAAGCAGCTAGTTTATAGCTCATGCAGCTATATAATACCAACTGCGTTGTTATTATTTACTTTCTGGATTTATATGCCATCTTCCTGTTGGAATACTCATGATGCCTTGTAATTTAAAAATGTGCATGCTAAAATATAAAATCCCTTAACAAATACTAGAAAATTAAAATATGAACAATAACAAGATATCCCAGTAAGGAATATTTCAGCCAAATTTGAGTGGCATTTAATGGGTGGGGTAGTTCATTAAAAGAGCCTTGTTGGCAGAGTGGTTAGAGTGCAGTACGGCAGGCTACTTCTGCTGACTGCTGGCTACTTATCAGCTGCCTGCAATTTGGCAGTTCAAATCCCACCAGGCTCAAGATGGACTCAGCCTTTCATCCTTCCCGGGTGGGTAAAATGAGGACCCAGATTGTTGGAGGCAATTTGCTGACTCTGTAAAATCACTTAGAGAAGGTCGTAAAACACTATAAACTGGTATATAAGCAGAGGTGGTATTCAGCCAGTTCTGACAGGTCCTGGAGAACTGGTAGTGGAAATTTGGAGTAGTTTGGAGAACTGGTAAATACCACCTCCGGTTGGCCTTGCCCCATCTATTCGCTGCTTCCTGAGTCCCAGCTGATCGGCTGGGTCTTCTTTTGTTGCCCTGCACAGGAGAACAGAGCTGGGAAGCAGGTTAGTGGGGAAGGAATGGGTTCTTGCAGTAACCTTTCCCAAGGAGTGGGGTAGGAATGGAGATTTTACAATATTCTTCCCTTGCCATGCCCACCAAGCCACACCACGCCCTCCAAGCCATGTCCACAGAACCACCATTGTATATAAGTCTAAGTGCTATTGCTTTTGCTAATTCAATAAGTACATTCAGCATCTGAATTTTCTGCATGAAGATAAAATTTTAACAGCAAACATCATATCTGTTAGTCTCCCAAAGTCATTTAAATTGCATCTCCATAAATTCTAACTAAAAATATGCAATAATGAATTCAAATATACTTTTTCTTTTGAAAACTGGCTTGAAAAGGAGGGTACTTCCTAGGGCAGGGCTGTCAAACTCTCGGCCCACGGCCTGGAGGCTTCACACACTGGCCACACCCACATCCGGTTTAGCAAAAGGGGAAAAATGTCCCAATACATCACATGATGCTGTTGTGACGACAGGAGTTTGACACCCCTGTCCTAGGGCTACCAGATATCAGCTGCAAAAACAGAGATGACCTCTAGAGGGCAGCATATAAGATATTGTTGCTATCTAACAACCACCACAGTTTTTCAAACCAGACTTGGTGTCCCTTTTCTTCCTGGTAAAATGGAAGATCTGAACTGATGCGGTTTTTGCATTCAACATGCTGTCAGTGTCAACGATTGTAGGAATAAAACAGTTTCTGTTATCCAAGTTGAAGACTTTTCTTGAGTAATAAGCCTCACGGTTGTAATATTTTAAAGATAAATGTATTAAAAGAAACAAAAGGAGCATCTATAACTCTACCACTTCCTCAGCATAAATTGTTTCCAAATATAAAATATCCGTATGGTCGTCTTGCATTCCTTGAAGTCCTGAACTTAAGCCTTAAAATCTTCCTTTCCTTATAGCATTGATAAAATCGCATTGGAAAGAAGGATATAGGAAATTTCCCTTTTCTTTTAGTTTCCCCTGTAGTTTATGATTCTTGTTTATCTTATAGTTTTGATTTTGATTTGGGTCCGTTTCCCCTCCCCCCTCTTTTAACCAATCTTTGCTGTATCAGGAAAAGAACAAGTACTAGGAAGAAAGAATCTATCACTAGCTTCAATCAGAATAAAGCTGGAAGGGACCTTGGAGGTCTTCTAGTCCAACCCCCCCATTCAAGCAGGAGATTCCATACCATTTCAGACAAGTGACTGTCCAGTCTCTTCTTAAAAATCTCCAGTGACAAAACACCCACAACTTCTGGAGGCAAGCTGTTCCATTGGTTCATTGTTCTTACTGTTAGGAAGTTTCTCCTTAATTCCAAGTTGCTTCTCTCCTTAACTAGTTTCCATCCATTGTTTCTCGTCCTGCCTTCTGGTGCTTTGGAAAATGACCGCCCCCCCTTCTTTGTGGCAGCCCTTCGGATACTGGAATTCTGCTATCATGTCACTCCTCATACTTCTTTCCCCCAGACTAGCCATACTTAACAGAGGTGATATTCAATAGGTTCTGACCAGTAGCAGAAAATTTGAGTAGTTTGGAGAACCGGCAAATCCCACCTCTGACTGTCCCCGCCCCCATCTATTCTCTGCCTCCCATTGAGTCCCAGCTGATTGGCTGGGTCTTCTTTCGTTGCCCTGCACAGGAGAACGGAGCTGGAAAGCAGGTTAGCGGGGTGGGGAGGGAATGGAGGTTTTGCAGTAACTTTCCCCTGCCATCCCCACCAAGCCACATCCATAGAACCGGTAGTAAAAAAAAAATTGAATCCCACCAATGATACTTAATCCATTTTAGTAGTTCTTTTTGGCCCTTTTCCTGAATTCTTAACATATTTTTGTAATGTGGTGACCAAACCTGGACGCAGTGTTCCAGGTATGGTCTTACTAAGGATTTACAAAGTAGTACTAAGATTATTTTGATTCTGTGCTTCTGTTTATGTAACCAAGGATTGTATTAGCTTTTTTTTTGCTGCTGCTGCACACTGCTGACTCACGTTTAAGTGATTGTCTACCAGGACTCCAAAGTCCCTCTCACTGTTACGGTTTTTGAGCCAGGTTTCGCCTAATCTGTACTTGTTCCTTTGATTTTTTCCTGCCTAAATGTAAAAGCTTTTCTCTGCATGTCCTCAACCTGTTTGTGATCATAGGTTAGGTATATATTAAGAAGAAAAACAATCAGGCTTCTTATGTTTTCATTCACTGAAACAGAACCACTAAGCTGCGAGTCAGAAACAGGTAGAAAAAGAGCCCCAGGTTAATTGGCAAGTCTTCTCTTTGGGGAAATAATTAGATTGTGTCTATTTTCCCCATTTCTCTCTCCTCATAAAACTTAATGAGATATTAACATTTGAGTTACAGCTCTCTTTATAGTTTATTCTACAAGTTTTAAAAGGCATTTGATGACTAAGGCAGACTCCAGAGACATTTTACAGCCCCTCACATATCTTCTGGTGGGGACTGCGCTGCTTTTCTCTTTCTGAAGAGCACAGGATAATTCTGGGACATTATCAAGGTTGCCTGTCTTCCTAAACATTTTCCTGATACATAATTCATTCAGTTCGGATTCTTTGCACCTTGTGTGAAACCAAGAGCTGGGGTGAGAGGAGGATATTATATTGTGCTTTTTCACTGAAAGAGTGAGAAGGAAAGAATCCTGAAGATCCAACAGAACCTACTAATATATCTTGAAGTGATCACAAAATTGGTTTCCGTTTAAGGAATTCTGGAGATCCACTTGTGTGAACCATCACAGTTTTCTTCTTTCTTCTGTCATGTACCACCGTCCTTATCCAGTCAAGTTCTCAATTCTTAAAGATGCTTCATTAAAATTGTACTCCAGTAATTCAAGTCCCTGAACTACCATTCTTTAGGGCAGGGATGCTAAACCTCTGCATCTGCCTGCATTGACTGCAGCTCCTGAAATTCATAATTGGTGGCCATTCGATTGGGAGTGGTAAGAACTTGCATCTAGTAATCTTTGAGAGACCAACTTTAGAGGAAGGAGCACAGGAAAATGGCTGTGCTATGTGTGTTTTGAATTCAGATCTTAAGATCAGCTTTTAGACATGGTAGCAAAGGTGTCTTGCTATTCCTGAGAATAGCAAGGAATAGCAAGTCCTTTGTCAAAATAAATAATACTGGACTAAATGGAAGAAAATAATTGAATTGAATATACAGCAGTTTTCTTTATTCCGGTGGTCACAATAATCTAATTTCAGATGAAGTAGGCCCTGTATCACAAAGTGTATCACAAAGAGAGGGTAAACAAGGCCTTTCCTCTTCCTTTCTCTTTTCTCTGTGCTGCTTTTTATTAATGATATTAGTTCTCCCTTCATCTACTTCCTAAGGAAAAACAGTATTCTCTTCAGCCTCCCTCCCATTTATTTATTTAAAATACTTCTTTGTAATTATTTTTGTACTTTCTTTGGATTAATTGTATGCATTTTGTTGTATTAATATTGTTGTGAGCTGCCCA